TTGTTGAGTGTATCTACCTCTAGCTGCATCAAGATTGGTCAGAGTTGAGGTCACACCTCCAAGAATATACCCGTACATGACCACACCCCACACCATTGAAACGAGTGCAATGAACTTCTCTGATAATGAAACAGCATGAATGTCACCATAACTGATGAGAAAAGAAATGTATAAATGTACATTATATGTAGACTATGGGCATACCCAACTGAAGTAAGGGTGCTAATGGCCCAATAAAGAGAAACAATATACTTCTGAGTAATACTTGCACTATATACATTGATATCTACAAGAGAGAGAGAGAGATAGGAAATTGCAAATAACTATCATTATTATTTACCTATTGCAATGCTGGAGCTATTAGCCCAGGTACCATTTAAGCAACCATTATGAAGGAGTTCAGCAGCATTATAACAAGACAGTGAGTACCAGAAGCAAGCAATGAACTGAACAGACAGACCAGATAAAGTGACATAGAGGAGAGACTGAATCCAAGGGCCATATGAGATGAAATGCTGTTCACATTTAGCTATGGTACAAAAATAAATAAAATATTAAATTTAAATTGAAACCGGCTCTTACTCAAAAATTTCCAAATCCTGTAGACCCTGAAAACTCTGTTGATCCTTATGAAAGCACCAATTGTAGGATTGAGAGCTGCTACTATCTCAAAAGGTGCAATGGTGAGGAGATCAAAGGTAAAACTAGTCTTTAAATATCGACGCAAGTAAATTGTAAAATGCTTGACATCAATCCTAGCAGCACTGTGGTCTAGTACAGGACGTGAGAGAATACCAAAGAAATAAAGGAAGTCTGTGAGGTACACTATTGATAGCCAGAATTCATGATTAGCATCAAATCCAAACAATATGCTAACTCCTGTCACTGACAATATGATGGAGAGGGTTAGAATAGACTCCCAGATCAAAAGGATGGTGGGAGCTTTAACTTTCAACAGAGGTACTAGTATCTGAGGATACATTATCTATTGCTCAAATTTCCAGAGATTCAAACAATCTCCTGTCCTTTGTTATAGGTTTGAAAGAGACAAGTATCGTTGCCATGCCATCAAGCTAGCCATGTGTTTCAGCATGGCTCTTAGGCGTGGTCAAGGTACGTGTAATGGTATGTGGGCGTGTCGGGTATGTTTCATTTTTGTTATTTTCAGAGAATCAGATGAGTTCTAAGTTGTTCTAACATGGAGCATAAAGGACAAAGAAGAAAGCATATGCTCAAAGTACTATTGCAATAGAATCTATTATACAGTGAATGTAAATGTGAATGAATGTGTAGTGCAGATAACTGGTAAAACATGGCTCTCAAAAATAATTTTTAAAGTTCCTCAAAAATTGAACCAAAACTGTCCCCGGCCAAATTTTGCCAAAAATATAAAGAAAAGATGACTCTTTTTTGATACATATACATGTTCTTATGTTGTGTAGCAAGTTTGAGCCAATTCCGATAAAATCTGAGTTTTTTTTTCAATTCTTATGTTTTGCTTAGGAAAATGAAGAGGGTCAAGCTGTAACAGAGCCTCAAACAGATGAAATTAGTGATAGAAATACTGTCCAAGATCTTCCAATTAAAGATGCAGATGACAATGACGTCCCACTAATGACTGATACTGATCAAATCATCACGTCTCAGTCTGGATCAGAGGACAGTGATTCAGATGACACTGATCAAGAAAGTGATTCAGATACCAATCAAGATGCTGATAAAGATGAGTTAGATGACCCTCCACTTAAGACCAGTCTTTCCAAAACAACCAAACAACAAGATAATAAAGCAACCAATCAGCTTCGCTACCGAAATACCTCAAGCAAGAAACCCCAACATAAAGAGTATTTGGATGAATTCAGCAAAGAGTATCCAAAAGAAGAGTCTAGCAAGAAGTTTGATCCTCCTTCAACTAAAAGTTCTTCATCATGTTCATGTCCATTTATTTTGGCATTGCTAATTCTGATTGCTGTGCTTGCTTTCTTATTGGGATTTCTTGGTGGCTCCGTCTGGTCAAGCAATAGATGTCTGAGGTCTTGTATAGTGGAATTAAATGAACAGAGAATTGCCATCGAGGAAGAATGCAAGAACAAATGTAATGTAGAACTAAAAGGTTCTTTGAAAGAAATGGAACTTGAAATGAGACGCTTAGAAAAGGAATTAAATGCCTCAAAAGAAGAGAATGAGAGGTTCCGTCAATCATCTAGAGAATGTACCAAAGATTGTGACAAATGTAAGGATCAAAAGTCAACATGTCTTGCCGATCTTTCAAAAAGCCAAGAGGATGCCAAAAGGAAGAAAGAGGATCTTGCAGCATGTCAGTTAGAGAAGGAATCATGTGAAGGTGAAGTTTCTAAACTTCAGAAAGGGCTCAAAAAGAAGGAAGAAGAGCTAGAACAATGCAAAGAGAAGAAGAAAAGATGTGAAGATGATCTCGAAGCATGCTTCAGCGAAACCAAGAAGAAGGAGAAGGAATGCGATGAGGATAAGAAAGAATGTGGTAATAAACTTTCAATTTGTCTTGTAGAAGTTGGAACAATAAAAGTGAAACTGGATGCATGTAAAAAGGAAAAGATAGAATGTGAAAATAAGCCTTGCGGCAGGAAAAGAAAGCGTTGTCGTCATCGTCATTAACTTTAGTTGCTATACTAAGAGTTGAAAGGGATTCCTTGTACACAACAATAGTGATAATTATAATAGACTAATTGTAATGAATAATAATAATAATAATAATAATAATAATAATAATAATAGTATAGATCTAGATATGCAATATGAATATGATCAGCCCCGCCCGTGAAACTGCGATTAAAATAAAATCGGAGCGTCCTTTTACTGTGTTAGTGTAGTGTAGTGAGCAGTTGTAACCTGAGACGCTTTTGTAAACTGAGGTTGTAGCTGAAGAAGATAATTTGGACAGAATGGGAGTAAGTGATGAGAGTGAGAGAGCAATGATAGTGATAGAGGAAACAGTACGGCTTTTTGAAATTTACTGCCATTTGTAACTTTTGCTTCCCTTTTCATTTTTGGATTGTAATGAGTATTTTAGTCTCACGCCGCGAGACTATACGTATTTCTGCTGGGTATGCAGTCTTGCTGCCCATATGGGACATTCCCCAGGCCAGCATAAAGTTTTGCTGACAAGGTTTTTCATGAGTCAGCACTGGGGAGTTGTACCGGTATGTTATTTTATTGGCAACCACAATAATTTAGTGTTGATGTACATGCACATACATAGGATAGTGAAAACGAAAAACCTCAGAAGCTGCCCATTCCATTGTCAAAAAAACCTCAAAAGCCCAGTCCAGGAGAAACGACATGTGTTTGCAAAAATTGTGGAGCAGAGTCTCATTTTCACACTCATAGACAAGAAGAGGAAGCGGAAAGAAGAAATGAAAGTCCTCCTGTTGTAAGTATTAATATTAATTTTGTTACTTTGCACATTTTGCTATATAAGTCTTTTACATCAACAAAGTTGCTTCACTGTCTCTCTTTTTGTCATTCTTAAATTTAATCTTCATTTTTTGCATTTATCAGTTGTCTTTTAATAACAATGACCACATGATGTTTGGCCATCAATTATAGTGTTATTGAATACACTTAGGCTACGTTTACACAGCAACACCGTGGGGCAAAACGCATCGTTTTAAAAGTATCCACTTTGAACACCGTTTTAGTTTTCAAAGAGTTCTATCAAGATTCTATCACGTTTTCATTCGTTTCTGTGTAAACAGAAGCATAAAACAGGCACAAAACTATACGGATTGCATCGTTTTTTGTTGCTGTGTAAATGTGGCCTTAGACCCATCTACTCTTAATAATAATTACTTATCATTTGAGTATGTTCACTTGCTGATAATGGTGAAGTGTGGAATAAAGTGTATTTTAATTGCAGGACAATAGCTGTTGCTATCTTCTTGTTCTGATCATCCTAATTGGTGTGACTGCTATTTTTGGTGCAATACTTTTGGACTATCGAAGTGAATTGCTTAAATGTCGAAGCGAAAGAGATACATGCCATAAAAGTTTGGCAAATTTGCAGCATGAACATTTTGATAAAATTAAAAGCCTTGAAGATCAGGTCAGGGGACTTGGCATGGATAAGAATTTAATTGGAATGGAGAAAAAAGTCTCTGAAACATTTTTAACATTAAAAGAACAAAGTCATGATGAATGCAAGGAAGAAAAGGCTGAATGCATCGAGGAAAAGGAAGACCTAAAGAAAGATATACAACGATTGAGTAAACAAGCGACAGATCTTAATTTGGAATATACAAAATGCGACTCTGAGAGGCCAGCACATGCTGAATGCAAAGAAGACAAGAGAAAATGCCTTCAGGAAACTCGTGACCTTAATGATTTAAATGAACAATTGAAGAGAGACAAAGCAGCTCTAGATGTGAAATATACAAAGTGTGACACAGAGAGAGTTGCTTTTGACCAATGCAAAGTTGATAAGAGAGAGCTCAAGCGTATTAATAAAAATCTGGAAGCTGACTTGAAAGCCCTTAACATAGAAGCTATCACACTCAACATAACTCACAGTTCTGAAAACAAGGAATTGACAATCTGTGACAGACGTCTTCATGTTTGCAAGGTGAACATGTTGGATTATCTGGGACGATACGAGACTTGCCTGAAAGACAAAGGTAACACAAAGACTGAATCGCAAAAGAATGATGTTATATGTAAAGTGGAGCTGGCAAAGTGTGAAGCTAATTTAAGGCAAGCAATAGATACCAGCAGCCAGTGTCAAGAGAAACTTGCTAGTTGTCGCTGGTGCTAAAAAGCAAACTTTTCTTGAGACTCATTCAATTATTTACACACAGTAGCCTGTTGTTTTGTACTTACCTCTTATTACACACACATGGTAGTCTGTTTTTTTGAAAATAAGGAATTTTGAGAACACGTGTATTCACGTGGGAAGAAAATAAGGGTGTGGTGGATGGTTGCGTGGGCGTTACAATTTTCTCTATAAAACTAAAATTCCTTTTCATCTTGTACTCATTCTTACTTTCTCCAATCAAAATGCAAAGACAGCACATTCTTTTAGTAAGTTATAGTTTGCCCTATATCTTACTATCACCACTCTCCTCCCTCAGTTCCTTTACTGGTTTGGCTCCTTCATCAGTTCCAATGCACAAATACCAGTGGAGCAACCAGTCTTTACCTGGCCTGGACCAATCACTGTACCTGTGGACTTCCCTTACTTTGAAGGTATAGCAAAAAGAACTGCACACAAACTGAGAACCAGCCAATCACTATACAGATGCATAGACTTTAATAAATTAAATATTTGGGCTATACTGATACAGTGCTTGTTGCAGCATAAAAAATAAAGATTGCTCACTA